GGCGGACATACCAAGCCTGGCTTCCCGTCAGTGCCGCCTCCCTGCGTCGGCGAGTGCAGGGTGCCGGGCAGATGCCGCCAGTTATCTTGGACGCTCACTGGACAGAGGTCTTACTCAGCCTGAGTCAGCGAGCCAGCAGCCTTAGGGGAGCACTCAGAGGCAGCCTGCGACTGTAGCCCTGGGAGTAACTGGAATCTTGCTCGGAGGCAGCTGGGGGCTCAGCAAACTCAGCTGACCAGAGTGAGACTCATAATACCCACCACTGGTTGAGCACTGTTGGCATGTATAATACCCACCACTGATGGAGCACTGCTGGCATGCCCATCGTGAAGGGCTCTGAATGCCCCTTAAGGGGCTTGGAATTGATTTGATCAGGGACAGGGAGCACCGTGAGTGTGTGTTTTAGAGAGATTGCTCCTGGGGCTACACAGAAGGCAAGGGGAGCTGGTCAGAAAGAAGGATGGATAGCCACCTGAGAGATGGCGAAGGGCTCGACTGGGGCCCTGGAGAAGAGGCAGAGGAGGAGGAGACGGGCTGAGAGAACCCCAGACAGAACCTGTGGGGCCCCAGTTCTCTGCCAGGCCGCCTGCTGCAGGTGGGTGAGAGGGTGGGACCCAGGACAAATCCCAGGTAGGGCCTTGGTGACCAGGTGCGTGGGCCCCTTCCCGGCTCTATGCTCTGCAGAGACGAGGAATCCCTACTCCCAGCCTCCTGCCCACTACCGACCAGCGGGTGGCTGGGTCCGAGGCTGCCATGCCATCACTGAGTATGCGAGGGCTATCGACGGGCTCTGAGACGCCCAGCGTGACTGCAGGCATGGTGGAGTTGAAGGGAACACATACACCAGCAAAACACGCAGTTGTGGCTGTGAAGACTTACAATGGCTTTGGAGCGGTGCTGTTGCAGGAAAGAGGGCTCGGCCGAGCAGATGCAGAAGGAAAAGATGCGGGAAACAAAGAAACATAGCACTCAGGTAGTCAAATGTGAAAAGGCCGATATGAGTCCTGCTCAGGAACAGCCCATCACTCGTCTCTGTAAAAGAGTGTCGACCCCCAATACCAAGACATGGGCGCACTTCAAAGTTGTGCAGCCAGCATGTAAGACCGCAGCCTGTGTTTTCTGAGCTTCATTCCGGCATCGTTTTCCAGCATCAACATAACAGGAAAAAATGCAGGAGTGATAAAGAGGCTTTCTTTCCAGCAGCTTCACACAAACGCTCATCATTAAACGCTCCATCTCTCTGGGAAGTTTCTTTTGGATGCTCCTGACTGACTGCAACTAAGCTTGCAATTTTTTTCCCCCCAGCCCAGAGCATTTAAGGACCTTTCCATAATAAGTCTGCCTGCTGCTGGCTAAGTTTAGCCATAAACTTGAAAAAGGGCCTCTTCACATCCATGGTGGTCACTGCCTTCTGCTGTCCACAGTAAACTTCTCTGAGTACCTTCACCCACTGAAGACCTCTCAGTCCAGAAGACAGAGGTCAGTCTTCCGGTGTGAGTCCGCCATCCGAGGGGCATTCTCATCCCATCTAACCTCAATGACTGCCAAGAGCACCTGTGTTGAGAAAATACATAGGGACACTCCTGGATGGAATGCTTGTTCTGTTCTGTCAACGCTCCCTGACATTCAGAAAAAAGGATTGAAGCCTCTGCCCGTGGCTGCTTCTAGGAGGAGCATCTTCACCTTCCTTCCAGGCCCCACGCAGGCGGCCTGCCGGATGCTTCCTCAGAGGCCCTGGGGGGCCGGGTTCATTGTCTGCCTCCTCTGTGCTCTCACATCAGCTTATCTGTCCTTCCCTTCTGCCGCTTCTCGCTTCTCACGTTCTCCATGTGACAGGAGCCTCCCCGGGACTCCTCCCTGTGATGGGCTCCTCCTTGGTGGCAGGGACCATAATGGAGGCACCTGGAATCAACCGGACGCCTGGCACAGGACTGTGTCCCTTCAGTGTGTTCCGTGACTATCTGCTGGGTTGAACTGAGTCACAACAAAAGCATGGACTTTGCTGGCTGACGCTTAAATAAACGTTGGAAGTGAGTGAAGGAGATGAACAATGTAAAAGTACCAAAAACCCAAAAAAGAGGAGCTTCAGTTTGCTCTTCTATCTAAATCTAGAGGACTGCTGAGTCCCCAGCCTGGGTCCACCATCTGTCCCGCAGAGGACGGACCTCACTTGCTATGGGAGCAGCTTCAGCCACGGTGGGACTCGAGTTTGAGGGCAGGGCACAGTCTGTTCCTGTGACACCCTGAGAGGCTCTCTCTCGTCCACAGACACCAGGACCACACATGGCCACGGGAAGGCCTGGCAGAAAGCACAGGTGTGGGAAGGGACGAAGCGAGCAGATGGGGTGAACGGAAGAGAAGGAGGAACAGGATATAACAGCGAGGCTCCCACTAAGGACCAGTCAGTATGTTGGCACAGAAGGATGAAAGTTCTAGAATAGTGTCCATGGCTCTTGCCCACTTCCACGGCTTCTGGCACAGGCAGCCAACATGGCTTCAGAGGGGCCATGACAGGAGGTACGAGCCTGGGGACGAGCTGCGGCTTGACCAGATGCTGAGATCCGGGCTGGCATTTGCCGCCTCCTCTTCCTTCAGGATCCTCCCCCTGGGCTCCCACTACTGTACTGGGCTCCACCCCATGACCTCCATCCCCGGAGCTCCTGAAAGGGAGGCCTGCACCCCACCTTCATGCCTCAGTCTGCTGAACAAAGAAAAGGCCGTGGGACCCTGAGCTGGCTTGTCTGACACTCACTCCGGTTTCTCAAGCTTCACTGCATTCTTCAAGGCCAGGGCCAGACATGGGCCCAGCACCAGGGGGGGCCGCTCTGCTCCCTGAATGAAGAACCCCCTCCTGCCCACGTTGGGGAAGCAGGAGAAGTCAAAACCCTCAGCTCGACCGAGTTTACCAAGCAGCGACTAGATAAACTCAGATACAGAAGAAAATAAAATAACGTCATCTCTGTGCACCCCTGGGTCTATGACTTGTGCCATTTGTTCCTGCTCTTCTCACAACCAAGAAAGTCTTGACTGGAAGACGGAGGTCTAAGAAGAACCAGAGTATCAAGTCAGCCACCCTACATACCTGAGTGAGATGATAACTTTGGGGGGTACTAGTGCCAAACCCAGAGTGCCCTAGCAGCCAAGGCAAAAAGGGGAGTTGGTCAGACCACTGGGGGGACGATCAGTGAGTGAGTTACTCAAGTGGGTCCCCGGTGGAGGCAGAAGCCAGGTTGCCCGGGGTGAAGAAGGGACGGATGGTGAAGGGGGGCAGGGCCAGCGGGAGAGAAAGCTTCAGCGGGTTGGCAAGACAGGGGTCTCTGAAGACCAGGAAGTCATGTGCCTGCCTGAAGCCCCAGGGAAGGAGCCTGCGGCGAGGGACCGGATGAGAAGTGCGGGCCGTAGGGGACAGAGGGTGTGCTGGGAGCTAGAGAGAAAGAGGGGCCAGCCGTGGAGGGAGGATGCTTGCCCTTGCCAGGAGCCAGAGAGGGGGACAGGAGGGGATGGAGATGGACACTCTCAGGGACAGGAGGGGGGGTTCACATGGACGGTCCTGGCTTTCCCGTTCACTGGAAGGCAAGATGATCTGTTCAGAGTTCGAGGAAGAAAGTGGGTCAGGGCATGTCAGGAGCCCACAGGAGACCTGGGGCAGCCTGTCCGGAATGAGCCAAGAAATGGCCAAGCGGCTACAGCGGGTGGCAGAGGCGTCCTGCTGTGAACTGTCAGGAACGACCGTTGCAGACACTGTCCCCTGGGCGGCTCTGCGCCTGCCCCCCTAGAGGGCTGCACGCGCACGATCCACATGCAGGAGCAGAGGAAGGGAGTTCTGCTATTCTCTCTGTGTCACAGACGAGGCAACTGAGGCTTAGCAAGGGTGGGGGACTTGCCCAGTTGGGAGCCGTCTGGTCACCTGCCGTCTGAGGGATCTGCGTGGACCTGTCTGTCCAGCTCTGCGCCTCGTGGCCCAGGAGCAGGGCTGAAGCTGAGACACAGAGGGTGGTGCTGCCTGGAAAAGAGGCTGCTGCGTGGGCCCCAGAGGGGAGCGCCTGATTCAGGGAGTGGGATACGGCGATGGGGCCACGGTGACTGCTGGGAGGCTTCAGTCTCCAGAGAGGCTGTCCGCGGTGGGGGGCGGGGGGGCGGGGGAGGCAGGGACGGGAACAGACCCCGTGCCAGTGTTGAACCCAGGAAAACAGAGGACGGTGGTACCACTGAGCGGTGTGGGGAGACGTGAGGGCAGTTCTCAGGATGTCAGCTCATCGCCCCCCACTGCAGGCTGCAGTCGCCCAACACACTGAGCACAGCTTCCTCGTGCTCATGTACAGCTAGACATCATTTTACCATTGTTCTAGCTGGTCCTTTGGCCTTGTATTTCCTGGAGAATAAATCCAGAGAGGAGGCGGGACCTGCCCACAGCCCGCCAGCCTCATTGAATCCTCACGCCAACCCCATGAGGGAGGTATCATCACCCATTCCACAGATGAGGAAGTGAAGGCTACTAGATGGAGTGACACACAGGTCAAGGTCACCTGGCCCCAGTGCTAACACCTGTGGGTGCAGCTGTGGTGAGGCTGGCAGAGATCCTGGGCCCCCAGGCCCTGAGGAAGAGGAGACTGGGCAGCAGAGAAACTGTGCGTCCCTGAGGCGCACATTCCTCTGCCCCCGGCCTCAGCAGGACCAAGAAACCAGGCATAAGCAGCTGGCACACCAGGGAGCTGCCAGGGACTACACCCAGCTGCAGTCTGCTGGGCTCTGTGCTCAGGGGAGAAGAGGAACAGAAATCGAGCACCTTGAACCAACTGCTGGGAGCATCACTTGGCCCCGGAGCCTCACTGATCTGGAGGGCAATGGGAAGGGGAACGTGGGAGGGGAGCAGTGACCGGGACCACGTCTTCCCTCTCCTTGCTCCTGTCCCTGTAGGGATCTCCAGCTGCAGGTGCAGCCAGAGCCTGCGGGGAAAGACGAGCCCGAGAAAGGGCGGCAAAGGACAGGCGCATACGCACTTGACGTTGGTGTTGGTGCAGATGATGTACTCAATCTCGTCAGAATAGGGATTCTGGAAGGTGAAGCTGCTGGTGCGGATCAGCATCCACTCCCGGTTCTTCGTGCGGAATCGATACATGACCGACAGCACCTGGCCTTTCAGCTTGACCACCTGAGAAAACATTCGGAGAAGGAAGTCAGCGGGAGGCACGGTGGTGCCAGACAGCAGGAGGGAGGGACACCAGGCCACGCAGTCGCTGCGAAGGCCAGCAGGAGCTCAGAATAGGGCACTGTAGCTGAAAGACAGCAAAAGGGGGAGTGAGAGCAACAGGGCGAGAGAGCAGGTAAGCCATGGGAACCCTCTGTCTCCCTCCTCTTTGAAACAGGCACTGCATTCGGGGCATTCTGTCACCACCATGTGGGAAACCAACTCGTGAATGCCCGTTTTATATCAGGACTTCTTAGCTTTTACAAATCAGATCATGAAAACTCTACAAGCTGGAGTGTTTCCCTTTTTGCCTTGGCTGCTAGGGCACTCTGGGTTTGGCGCTAGTACCCCCCAAAGTTATCATCTCACTCAGGTATGTAGGCATATTGTATTCATGGATTAACTTCTTCATACCTCACATTAAAAAGTTCTTAGCCTGTGCTTAATATTATAAATTGGATTAAAGGTACTCTTTGGGAGGAGATGTAATAAAATAAATTCGTATGCCTTATCTATTTGCAGGAATGTATCTATTATTATTTTTATGTTGCAGGATGGTTTCCCAAATACTTCCAAATGTATTCCTTCAGGTACATCCTCACAAGAGTTTGGTGAGGTGGGCTTTACTATTTACAGACGCCAATACTGAGTTTCGGAGACATTAAATAAGTTGCCCAAGATCAGACAACTGTGGTGGAAAAGCTGGGACAGGAACCAAGATCTTGCTTCAGAACCACAAGTTTGTCCCTCTGGATACACTTCGCTCTTCTGCTCTTTGTGGACACACAGTCTGTGCACATGCAGAAACACAGAGACGTGTAAAAGCGTATCAGACAGGCAGACGGTGGCGTTCAGGGGCAGTTCTCATGGCTGAAGCATACACGGAAGAAAGAGACAGGATACAAACGGCCGGGGCTGGGTCTAGGCCTGGGTGCGATTATACCCCTGGACAAAGCAAGGTGAGCAGGAGCTCTCCTCTCCACAGGCCTGTCCACCCCAGAGCCTGGGCTGGTCGGACGGGGAGGGCTCTGGGCCCACGGCAGCAGGCTCGCCTGACTATGAGACCACAGTGTGATCAGAGGTGAGAGGGGGGCCTGGTCCCATGGCGCAGGGAAGGCCCAATCCCCTTTCCTAACTCTCCACACCTGTAGTTTATTCCCAGTCGAATGTCAGTGGGCAGCAGGGGGCAGGGACTTCTGGGTCACCTGAGTCGCCCCCACCCTCAGCCCAGGGCCTGGCTCAGAGCAGACGCTTGGAGCACATTCCCCGAAATGACTAGTGCTGGGCTGATACACCTGGGGTGACGGACAAGGCTCCCTGGTGGGAAATCCCCGGTGATGAAGAAAGCAGACCGAGAGCTCGAGGAGGTGGGAGACCCTTCGTGGCCCCACGTGTGGGGAGGCACCACGGGGCCCTGCCGGCAAGTGAGCTGGCTCCTTCCTCACAAGGCCAGAGGACAAGGCCATGCGCCCTCAGGCTGGCATTCGAGGGCGGCCCACAGGGGCCTCCTCTGTGTCTGCACAAAGCACAGGGGAACTAGGCAGCCACCCCCACACTTTGACACCCGTGTCTCTGCACTGAGAAAAGGTGCACGAAGGGTGCTCTTTTGTGTCCCTTCTGACCGGAACGCCTGCGATGCTGTGAAATTTTTTAGCTCCACGTAACAAGCGCTCACAAGGCATTGCCCATGTGCAAAGCTCAGCGTGGGAGCTGCGGATGAAGAACAGAGGAAGGGGCCACAGCCCTGCGTCCTTCCAGGGGCCAAGCCACAGGCTAAGCATCTTACACATGTTACCTCACACAGCCCAACAGCTTTTGTGCACCTGGAAACTGAGCCTCAAAAATCCTGCCTAAGGCCTCATGCCTAAGGAGTGGCAGAGGCGCGGGGGACTCAGATCTACCCGACCCCAATGCCCACTGTCTTCTCATGAATCCCTGTAGCTGGCAGGCTCCCTGTCCCCAAAGAGCTTCTCCCCCAGCACGGCCTATCGAGAACTGTGATGCAGAGGGAGCACACCAAGGACCACTCCAAAAACACAAGATCAAGTGCCCCGGCGTTTCCAGGAAGCTGAGGGGACAACCTGTTCTCAGGATCCAGAGAGGGTTCCTGGGGGAGATGGGGCCTGGAACACACGTTGGAGGGTGGATAAAATGTGGGCAAGTGAAGCTCTGCGGGGGGCTCTCCTGGCAGGAGGCACAGAAGGAGCAAATGTGTGGAGGCTGGGAACCCTAAGGTGTGGGGGGAACTGGACCACACAGGTAAGGCAGTGCAGGTGTCGTGGTCCAGGCCCGAAGACCCAGCTGATCTATCTGACTGTGCTCAAGTCAGGAGTGATGCTAACACCTGAGAGCACAAGGCCAGGCGTAGACCCCGCCCAGCACAGCTTGTCATGACAGCAGCTCTGATCACCCTCCTCGTCCTCACGGAAGGCGTCTGAGCAGAAAGGAGAGGATGTGACAGGAACCTGCTTCAAATCTCACGGGGCTCCACTCTTCCATTCGACTTCTAGGTAAACTGTGATCCAGGGAGGGGATCCAAGAGCAGATTCAGACTTCCTGGCCCTGGGCTGGCACACGGTCACCCCACAAACTCAAATTCCTCACCAACTCGATCACACTCGAAGGTGCTCACTGCTGGGCCATTCAGACGCTTTTGTTTAAATCTAGAGTTCCAGGCTGCCTCTGAGCTGACACAGCCCCTTCCCCGCTTTTGTAAAAATAAGCCACTTCCCTTTATCCACATTCGTCCCCCACCCTGGCTGCCAGTGGCTGGAGCCCAAAGCACACAACGCGGGCTGGGGCCCGGCACACTCCAGGATGTCCTTGAGGCTGCCTGGCTGCTGCCGGCTGACCCTGTGACCTGGCCAGGCACTCAGGCCTTGCTGCTTTGGCTTCGCCTCCTGTCTGAGGAATGAGGTGGCTGCTCACAGAGCGAGGGTTACTTAAGCTGGACACCAGGGCAGGATCAGACATTCCATTCCTTTTTTTTCTTTTCAAAACCAACTGGGTTCTGACAGTGTCAGCAGTTTAAAATCTCAGATGTGCTGTCAGATAGAGAGGCCTGTGTGCAGGGCATGGAGACAGGGAGGGATGCTCTGGAAGGAGGCAGGCTCCAGCCCTAGCTCTATTGTGGCCTTGCTGTGTGACCCAGGGTAGGTGGCTGAACCTCTCTGAGTCTTGGTGTCCACTGCGAAAAAGTGGGGATGACAACATCCTGTGCGGGGTTGAGGATTACATAAGATAATGTGTGACAAAGGGTCAGGCTGGTTACCACAGTGAGGGGAGGCCCTAGCACTGTTAGAGCTTCATCCCCATATACCCAGAAAAATGAAGCCAACCCAGTCCAAACGGCAGTGCTGGACCATGCCAAGTTTATAATAATTTCCACATATTTAACAAAGATGTGGCATAAAAGATATATTCTTATAGTGTTTAACTATTCCAATTCCACATTTTTCCAAAGTGACAGTCACTTGCTAAGGGTGGTGATCCATTTAGACTACATTATCAAGAGCCACCCACGTGTAAACGCCACACTTCGTGGTGGAGATGATGTTCACCATCAGATGTGGAGCCTACCCGCAGGAGCTTATGTTTTAGTAGAGTGGACACAAACACACACACACACGGGGAAATCAGCGGACAAATAAACAGTTAAAAACTGGAATAGTTGTTTTGGAGAAAAACAAGGGGCTGAGAAGGAGTTGGAGGATCTTTCTCAGACAGGGTAGTCATTGATGGAACCTCTGAGATGACATGACTTAAAACCTAAAAGATAAGAAGGTGTCAGTCATTGAGAGAGAGAGACAAGAGCATTCCAGTCAGAGGGAACACATGCAAAGGCCCTGAGGTGGGAAAAAGCATGATGTGTTCAAGGAACCAAAAGAAGACCAGTGCAACCCACAGGTAGTGAAGAAATGAGGATGAGACACGCAGGGTGAGGTTCTTGTTGATCACGCAGCCATAGTGAGGGCTGGGATTTGATTCCAGGTGCACTTTTTAAGTAAAGATGTGTCAAAACCTAATTTATGTTTTCAGAATGGCTTGGACTAGGACAAGAGTAAAAGCAGGAGACCAGCAAGGAAGCTGTTGTAAATTCAAGATGAGAGATAGGGTGGGCTCTCAAGGTGAGCAGGAAGGAAGAGGGCAGGGGCTGGACCACCGATGTCCTTGGAGGTGTAACAGAAGGACTTGATGATGGATGGGGGAAGTGAGACCAAGGAAGAGTGATGAACGTTTCTTGTTTCGGGCCTGTGCAACCAGGTGGATGGTGGTGCAAGGGAGACTGGGGGCCGGGAGAGGAGAATCAAGTCTTCTGTGTTGTAAGGTTAAGGGGTGTTCAAGCGCAGGAGTGGAGCTTGAGGGACAGTATGGGCTGGAGTCACCCAGTAGATAAAATTGCTGAGGGAGATACTACAGAGAGAAAAGGAGAGAAGGCAGTTGAGGACAGAGCCCGGGGGCCCCAGGGCTGGGGGAAGCAGGCAGACGACAAGGGACGACAAAGGAGCCTGAGAAGTGGAAGGAAATCCAGGAGTGGGTGATGATTCGAAAGTAAAGACCAGACTGTGCAGGGAGCAGGAGGGCTAAGAGATCTGCCCACGTACGTGGCGTATAACTGGAGGACAAGGTCTATTTGTGCAGACACAGCAAGGCCTTCAGTAGGAGGGCTCATTCTGAAACACTCGTAAAGCAGAATGTTGAGAACTTCTCGCAGATGAATCACAAACCATTATTTCCTCTTCAAGAGTAATTCATAGGCCTCTTTTCTCATAACATTGCCTGTTCCTTTTTTCCAGGGCTGAGGTGAGATGCCAGAGCCCTTTGAGGAATGTGCTCTTTCTCATCACAGTTGAACCTGTGCTCGAGGCGACAGGCCCTCAGTTAGGGTCCTGGTTCTCTCACTCATCAACCCTGTGACCTTAGGGGCTCTCACCTCACTGAGTGTCACTTTACTCACTGTTACATGAAGATAATAATGCCCACCTCCCATGACTGCTGAGCAGATTCAAGAAAGTGGTGTATGCAGAAGGGTTTCCCTAGTGCTGACACGTGGTAGGTGCTCCGTGCACAGCAGCTAATAGTGATGATGCTCATGACTCAGTTATTGGGGTGGCCTTCCTCTCAGGCTCCCAAAAGCCATCCTAAATTCTTCTCTCGCCTTCACCGTCTCTATGCAAAGCATCACTAACCTGGCATGTCTCCTCAAGTTGCCTCCTCTTTTAATTGCCACGGCTCCTGCTCCATTTCTTGTCTCATCACCTCTTACCTGGACAATTGAAACAGCTTCCCAACTTGTCTTTTGTTCCAGCTGTTTCCCACAAACCTGGGCTACCAAAATTGTTTTTCAAAAACACTAGTCTGCTTAAAATCCTCAAAGGAATCCTCACTTAAATGACTCAGGAGAGAACTGAAATTCCTCAGCATGGCATATGCTTCATAACCTGGGTTCACCAGCCTCATTCTTTACCACGGCCCACCTCCTCCCAAAAGTCAGCCAGTGTCACTCCAGCCATAAGGAACTACTTATAATGCTCCTAATAGGCCATGTTATTTTGCATCTCTGGTGCTGGTCCCCCAGTCTAGGATGTTCTGTCATTTCTTTTATTTATTTATTTATTTATTTTTGTGAGGACGATCAGCCCTGAGCTAACATCCATGCCAATCCTCCTTTTTTTGCTGAGGAAGACTGGCCCTGGGCTAACATCCATGCCCATCTTCCTCCACTTTATATGGGACGCTGCCACAGCATGGCTTGACAAGCAGTACGTTGGTGCGCGCCGGGATCCGAACTGGCGGACCACAGGCTGCCGCAGCAGAGCATGTGCACTTAACCGCTGCGCCACCGGGCCGGCCCCTGTCATTTCTTTTATGCACATCCTTTAAGACCTATCCCAACAGTTCCCTCCCCTGGGAGACTGTTCCTGCCTCTTCCCCACATTGTTAACCTCTCCATCCTCTGCTCTTTCCCCATGACAGAGTAATGACTTCCTAATGGGTCTGCCTTCCCCACTGGACTGTGAGCTCCTTTATGGCAGGGGCCCGGACTGATGCCCTAAGTAGGACCTTGTAGCCTGCCTGGCACGTTGTAGGACTAGTGTCCTGTCTGCCACATCCATGTGTATCCAAGGTTCTATATCAGCTGTAAATGGGCACTGGTGGTACCTGCTGGAAGCTCTCACGCAGATGGCTCTGATCCTCAGAGTGGCAGAATTCCAAAATGTCCTTTCCTAGAAGATCCTAAATAAAGAGACAAGCTTTAATCATTCCAAACCCCATTTTTCATTATTTATATATCACTGTTAGACAAGAGTGTTCATTTACACCCCTTTCAACCCATCTCCTTTACCTCACCCCACCATAAGGGGAAAAAGAAGTAGATGCAAATTTTCCCTTGGAGCGATCATGGAACTGGCTTCTGGTACCCACTCTTAAGTTCCTTTGGCATACTCAGTACCAACTTCTAATTTGGCTAATGAACTAGATCAGCAGCTTCAGAATGCAATTTTATTTTTGTTTTCTCTGGAGAGGCAAACTGCAATAAACATATTTTAATAAACGTAAAAAGAAAGCAAATGATAGCAGGAGGACAGATGTGTTGCCCGTGAAAACTGGAATTGTTTACTTGTGGAAACTGTAGCCCTCTTGTGGCTGGAGAAATGCTGTTATAACAGAACTGTACTTGTTAAAAGCCTGTTTACTATCTACTTTCACTCGCCTAGGTTTTATTCAAAGGACCGAGCATCAACCCAAGACAAAAGTGTGTTTAACAATGAAACCAACCAGAATATGATAAACCGTCAAAAGGCAACTCCAAACGTGTTATAGGAAAGTGGTCCAGTTGGAAGTGTCTTAAATGGCAAAAAATTTAAACTAACTCGCTGATCAGAACCCAAATCAGCAAACGGCCTCAGTGGGAGCTGACACCGACAATGGAAAGGAAGTCTTATCTGTGTGCCAAGAAGCATCTAGATGCTCATGGAGGTGCCAGCGAATAAATGGATCTGGCTGGAAATATATTGCCATTGGAGGTATGGTGAATTTGGAAACAGATCAATTTTCCCCTTCATTCCATCCAAGAATCTCAAGTTTGCATGAATCTAGAGATGTAGAATTACATGAATGGTTCCAATATTTCAATTCGGACTGTTTCTAGTTCTAAAATACACATGTAATTAAAATACCCCTATCAATGTATCCCAGACTTTGTTCCTCAGAACAAAGATCTTTTTCTTTCTTTCTTTTTTGTTTAACTGCTTTTTATCTTGAAAGAAATTTAAATCTACAGCAAAGTTGAAACGATAGTATAATAAACACCTATATATCCTTTACCGAGATTCAACAATCGTCAATATTTTGCCACATTTGCATTTTTTCTCTTTCTTTCATATATATGTAAACATACACATAAATGAAATATATAAAAAATATGTCAATGAAATATCTTTCATGCCTACACATACACATATACTTAGACATTTCTTGCTGAACCGTGGAGAGTAAGCAGCAGACATCATCACTCTTCTCCCTAAGCATGGATCTCATAAAAATGACATTGCCTTACAAAACCATAATATACCATATGACACCTAAAAAATCAATAAGTATTCACTAAAATCCCCCAGTATTCCATACGTATTAACATCTCCTCAACTGTCTCCCAAGTGTCTTTCACAGCTCTGTGTCTTCTGGCTCACAACCCAGTTAAGGATCTCACATGCATATTGTTATTTTATCTCTTTGGTTTATCTTCATCTGCAACAACCTCTCCTGCCTTTTTTTCAAAAGGTGTGGAACAAAGACCTGAAAATGTGCCCCCTGTAAAAAAGGGTTCGAAACACATTTGAGAAAAAAGGGGTTGGGCAAAATTAAGTGGACATCTATACTTCAAGACTTCTCAGAGTCTTTCACATTAATATGCTTTTTAAGTTTCCAATAAGGAGATTTCCTGTGTGATGTTAATGAAAATAAATTGATAAAGAGCCCCTTTTTCATAGAGCATCTTAACTCTAGTTTGTGAAAATCAGCTAGAAAAATGGAATGGCTAGGGCAAAAAATGAAGAGTTAATTTTAAGTCGTGCAGTCGCATACAATGTCCTTTCCTGATTTGGAAGGCCATTACTCTATCCAGACAGGGACATGGATTTTTATGCCGTGTTTCCCTATGTTGTCATTGCGTCCTCTCTTGAACAAACGAGATAAGTGTGCTTTAAGCATTGTTAAATCCCTAGCCAACTGCCACGAACTCAAAACTCTCTACCTGGGGTTGGTAGCCAATCACACTGATGCATCTTGGGTCCACAAACGTGATGATCCCATCAGAGTTATGCCGTGATAAGAATTCTGTGGGCACTGACATCCCGCTCATGTCCACGCACACAGGAGAACTGGTCACCTGGAATGGGGAAATCCACATTGACGTGGTTTTGACAGAAGCAGAGATGGAAATGGCAACAGAGATAGAGAATGGGAATAATCTATGTGGCTTTAATTTCACAGGTCCTTCTTTGTCTAAAATGTTCAAATAGCCCTGGTCACACCTTTGACTAATGTAATAGTGGGCCACTTCCTTTACACTTCTGAGCTTAGTTTCCTTGTCAGTCAGTGGGAATAATGAAACCTGTAATCTCATAGGGTGGTTGTGAGGTTCAAAAGAGATACTGCATGTTAAACCCTAGCACAATGCCAGGGACATGGTTGGTGCTCAGAAATGTTAATACCCTTCCCTTCTCCCACCTTCCCTTTACTAAGGATGGCAAATGAGTCTAAGGAACTGGTGAAAATATTTGGAAAGTATACACTTGTGGACCAAATTTACCCAAGTATTCTCTCTTCACCCATCTGCAAGGAATAACCAACGCTTATCATGTGTCAATGAAACTGCTCATTCATTTATCTGAAAATGGTAAGACCTAGGAAACCAGGGACATGAAAGGTTAGTGTCCTCTGAACAATATCCATGTCCCCCTCCATCAGTATGGGGAAGGCTCTCAGTGCCATAAGGAGGATGGAGTCCAGTTGATTGAGTGGCTACTGTGTGTACCAGACATTGAGCCAGTGGGCTTCATATATATTATTCAGCATATTTAACTTTCACAAGGCTAAACACACTCCCTGCCCTTGAGGAGCTTGCACTCAACTACCTATATGAAAATAGACAGTGAAAAGAGATAACTGACGTGTGAACTCAATGCTAGGACTCAGGAGGGAATGATTAACTTTGACAAAGCAGATAAGGGTGTCATTTTAGCTGGATCTTGAAGGATGAAGAAATGGGAAGTAAACAGGAGGAGAAGGAGTTTCGAAAGGAGAAGATGAGAACAAGGAAATCCAGGCAGAAGGAACAGCCTGTGGAAATTCACAGAGGCTGGGGGCGGGGGGCAGGGTGGGTTTGTGGAAAAGGGAATGGTGTGGTCTGGGAGTAAGGCAAGGTGAGGGGACAGGAAGAAGATGAGGGTGTAAGATGAGTTAGTGCTTTACCCTGCAGACCATGGGGAAACGTTCCAGGTGATTAAACAGTGTGATGTGAGCAGAACTCGACTTGGCAGTAATGGGCACAAGTGTGGGGATGGACAGATTCAGGTCCTCAATGAAGGAAGGATGCTGCTGCTCACAGCTCACAGTCCCCCTTTCTGCTCCCATAGACTGAGACATGAAACTCAACAAATACTGAGTATACAGGAGATCAGAATAAGCATCCAAACCTATAGGCTCTTGCTCTTTGTAATAATAAGCGCTTGTTTGAGATTAAAAAGGCTGTGAGCTTTTTCTTACCTGGAGTCTCCCAATTGCCACAAGGCAATATTTACTGCCTTGTCCCACATCGGTGTCTTCTTCAGGGATAGTCATTCCTGAAATGAGAAATGCCAGCGTCTTCAACAACATGCCCAAGATGAAGGCAAAAGAGGCAAAGGTGTCCGTGATTTTATTTACGCAAACGAAAATACAGATCCACTGTTGACCACCAGGGTCTGAAAAGCCAGCCAATGAATTAAGCAGTCCCTCGCTCACTTCCTGCTCCCTCTCTGCCTGACGTCTTGTGATAATCTCACGGTATATTATCATTTGCATCTGTGGATGGTGCAGAGGAATTTCAGGAAGATAAAATGCAAATTATTCATTTAACATTTGCAAAATTTGCCCAAAACATTTAATTAATTGAAATTAATAAATTTCAATAAGAAGTGTATCTGGGCATTTCAGGCTATGTAAATATTTTACTTATCTGTTGACAAAGAATCTAACAAAAAGGCAGAATCAAAAACAAAAAACAAAAACCTACCAAAGCTGAAATTACTTACTTGCCAGGCAAGGGAACACAACCAGAGTTTTTAAGGGCTAGAAAGGAGAGACTGGTGATGGATATGCTGATTAAGCACTAAAAACTAGTGCTCTGGATAGGGAGGAACTGGTTAAAACAATCCTCATTGTTCTTTGGTCAGAAAAGAGTTTTCTGTTCAGTTCAGTAAGGGTCTGGCATCTGGGTAGCTCATGGTGCAAGGTTCTTGAACAGCTGTAGTTGGTTGTAAGGAAACAAGCATTCCGTTTTGGTATGTCCTAGGCAAGGGCTGTGAAAACTCACTTTTAGGGAGTTGAGGTCAGACCAAAGGTTCACAGTGACAGAATCATGTAGCACAGTGACGGCCCGGCACCAGACCGTGCAGGGCGTGGTAAACACGACTCTGGTTCTAAGAGCCAGAGAAACCTCACTCCCTCTTCATCCCCTCTGCCTCATCCACAGTCCCCTCCTCCTTCCAGCCCTTTTCCATCTACCCCTTGTGGGTAACCAATCTCTTAAGTTTCTGCTTTATCCTTGGTGTATTTCTTTTGCACAAATGAGCATATATATGTGTATTTTCTTACCTCCTCTTCTTTCTTCTACGAAGAGCAGTGTACTGTAGATACTCTTTTGGGCTTTGCTTATTTCACTTAACAGTATGTCCTGGAATTCACTCTGTAATTATTCATAGAGCTCTTCCTTATTCTTTTTTAGAACCACATAGTACTGTATTATGTAGATTACAAGGTTTGTTCAACCACTTTCCTATGGATGAACATTTAGGCGTTTCCAATATTTTGCAACTATAAACAATACTGCAAAGAATAATCTTGTGCATATGTATTTCCCTATGGCTGGAAGTGTAGCTTCAGATACACCCAGAAGATACACCTATCCTAAAAGTGGGATTGCTGGGTTGCAAAGTGAATGTATATGTAGTTTTGTTAGGTATTGCCAAATTTCCATCCAGAAGGGGTGTACCAATTTGCATTAGCACCAACAATGCATGAGAGGCCTGTTTCCCCACAGTCTTAGCCAAGAGAACATGCTGTCACATTATTGTCACTTTTACAGATAAGAAATGGTATTTCAGTGTTGTCTTAATTTACATTTCTCTAATTATGAGTGAGTTTGAACATTATTTCATATGTTTGAGGGCCATTTTTGTATCTTGTCTTTTAGTGAATTGTCTGTTCATGTCTTTCTCATTTTTCTATTGGGATTTTGGTCCTTTGCCCCTCAATTTTCAGGAGTTCTTCATATATTAGGGATATTAAGCCATTGTGGTATATGTTGTGAATATGTTCCCCCAGTTGGTCCCTTGTCTTTTGACTTTGCTTATGATGATTGAAAAAATTTGTAATTTTTATGTAGTCAGATTTATCAGTCTTTTCTTTTATTATCTCTGGTATTTAAGTCATAGTTAGAAAGCCTTTTCCTATACCAAAGTCAAGGAGAAATTCATCTGTTTTCCTCTGATACTTTCATGCTTTCATTTTTTCATTTAGATCTCTAATCCATTTGGAATTATTCTTGTGTAGGGTTGAGATATGGATCTAATTTTATCTTTTTCTAAATGCCTGTCCAGTTGCCCTGCCAACATTTATTGAAAATGCAGTGATTTGAGATGCCACCTTTATCATATAATAAATTCCCATACTAATTCTGGACTTTCTCTTCTATTCCACTGGCCAATTGTCTATTAAGCATCAGTACCATGCAATTTTAATTATAGAAGCTTTATTGTATGTTTTAGTATCTGGTAGGGCTATTCCTCCCTTACAGTTTTTTGATGTTTTCTTGGCTATTCTTGGATGTTTATTTTTTTACATGAACTTTAGTATCAACTTATTTAACTCCATAAAATAGCTTGCTGGTATTTTTATTAGGACTGCATTAAATTTATAAATTAACTTCAGGAGAACTGATATCTTTATAATGTTGAGTTGTCCTCCCCAAGAACATAAGATGTTTTTCCATTTGTTTAAGCCTGCTTTTTGTCTTTCAGGAGTATTTAAAATTTTCCTCTTATATACTTGTATTTGTACACTTATTAAAATTATTCCAAAGTATTTAATCTTCTTTGTTGCTATTTGTAAATAGGGTTTTCTCTACCATCATGCCTTCTGTTTATTGCCTATGTGTATGAAGGCCATTGATTTTTGTATATTTACATTGTATTGTGCTATTTCACTGACTTAATTTATTGTTTCAGTTAGTTTTATTATTGATTCACTGGGCTTTGGCAGGCATATTATCATACAATTTAAAATACAGATAGTTTTCCTTCTTCTTTACACATTGTTTTGCCTCTGATTTCTCTTATTTAATTGCATGGGCTAGTATTTCTATTACAATGTTGAACAGTAGTAGAAAGAGTGGGCATTCTTGCCTTGTTTCTGATCTTAGTGGAAATGTCTCAAGGGCTTCTCCATTAAATAAGATACTTTTTTAAAAGAGAAATTATCCCTGAATTATTGACTGGCATTTCTGCAAATCTCTTTAATGCCTTGCTTAATAGTAGATAGCTGGATTCTAATATCTGCTGTGCATGCAATCTATTACAGTATGTTGTTTTACTTGAGGTATTTGAAGAAAATATGCATTCCATCGACATGTAGTTGGAGGAGGGAGAATTTTTTTCAGATAATTGTGGGTATTCTTCTTTGATATTTTCCTAAATCTTGACAAGTAGTAGTTTCTTAAAGGTTAATTGCAATGTGAAATCCAAAACTATATCAATGAATTTTTCATATTCTGTTACATTAAAATAGATTAGTCTAACACTTGGAATGGATCTTTTACCCATACATGATTTTCAACATTATGTATTGGTCATTTGGAAAATATTGGTTCACAAAATTATACAGATCTTCTAAATGTTGACATATTACATTATATATTATTTTAAAAAATCCCACCTGTTAATATTATCATCAGAAATATTTCTAGGTATTGGTCAAGATCCTGGTGGTGGATACAAGTTTTCCAAAACTCAAATTTTCACTAGAAAGCTTGAATTTTATCACTGACAACAAATACTGTCCATTGTTTTCCTTGAAGTAACAGGCTCATTTTAACCTTTTGAGAATGTATCTACCAGTTACCTAAGTTTGAATAACCATAGATTGTTTGCTAGTTACTCTTTCAAGTAAAAAATAATGTTTCATGAAAAAATCAGCTACTTCAGTTCACGACTCAAACAACCGCACAAGTGCTTTTCCTTGACACAACCACCATGTTTGGTATGCAGCAGAAGTCAATTTATGCATACTTCCAATTTCAGGGTTTAATAAAATTAATATTTTTTACTGCTTCATCAAGGACATACTTCAGTGAAACCAGCATTTTTAAATTTTGAAATTATTTTTCCTGCAAGTGTGGGGTGATAAAGAATACAATGACTACCAGGACATTTTGGTGCCACCGTCTTGATTCATGTCAAGGCTCCAGATGTTTTTACCTATCAATGCTTTTGCACCATCCGTGCAAATGCTGACCCAGTGAAAAGGACAAATAACATCTTAGTGCTGTAATGAAAATACTCTGAACTTTAGTGCCCCTGAAACCATCTCAGGGACTCCTATGGTCCAAGGACCAATCTTGAGAACTGCTGCTTCACAGGCTGCTGTTCTCCAGAGTTTGGACCTCCCAGCCTCATCTCTTTTCTGATCCTTTCCCTGTTGCCTACATTTCTAACCATGCATTAATGAGCCCCGAGACTACGTCTCCAGTCTAGGTTTCCTCTGGGGTCCAGGTCTTGACTCCACTTGCCTACCAAAAATAATTACCTCAATTTCACAGGCCCTTCAAACTCAACATTGCCCAAATTTTCCTACTGAAATGTGCTCCTTTTTCTTCTCTTCTGTGGAAAAGACAGCTAGTGACCTACCCCACATACGCTCTCTCCCTCTTCCATGCTGAAAGGACCCTGATTTATCCAGAGTGGCAATATGTCCACTCCATTAGAATCAGAGGTGGTCAGGTGACACAGCTCTGGCCTATAAGACGTAAGCAGAAGTCACTTAGTGGGGCTTTTAGGAAAGCATCTCTCTTGTGTGAAATACAAACATGACGGTGGAGCTCTAGCAGTTGTCTTGAGTGCAGGAAAGTCAAGGTCACACAATAAGGACTGTGGAGTAGACACCTAGGAAAATGAGTCCCCAGTTACATCATATAGCCACTACTAACTCTGGACGGCCTACCTTTGGATTTCATGTCCAAGAGGAAAATATATAAAGTAATTTGTTTAAGGCACCATTATTTGAGTTTTCTGTTATATGCAACCAAACTCAACCATTTACTTACATACATTTTAACCTCTATTAGAAGCGTCACAACCAGCAGTGAACATTTGTCACTTATTTGGGGTGACCAGCAGCCAAACACATGTCCTGTCTGGAGGGATTCCCTCTTTGTCAGTGGTCCTGGTAGAAGACAGTATCCAAGCTCCCATTATGTAAGTAAAAGAAGCCAGATTTTACTTCTCTCCATCCTTCCAGAGTGTTGGTTAGAATTCATCAGCAAAGCAAAGCCCAGTGTTCTGGTCAGATTGTTGCTGCTAATAGTCTC